TCCTCATGACACACAGTGCACTCTAACAAACCAGCCCTCTCAGTGATCCTCTTACTGTAATGCTTCACGACCCATGCAGCTCTTCTGCCTGAATTAAGGCAGGCTGTCAGGTGACAGCTGACTGTATTCTCTTGCCAACCTCTGAGTATATTCATCAGTACAAGGCAGCTAGGCAGTGCCAGTGGATGGAACTCTGAGTCTGGAAGACCTGAGTTCAAACCCAGTCTCAGACACTTGGGCAAGTGACATAAGTTCTGTTTGCCTCAGTTTCCTCAACCATAAAATGGGGATAATAATAGCACCTTCCTCTGGAGGCTGTTGTGAGGTTTAAATGAGATAATGAGCCATGACTATTAGGTTGTCAGTTAAGGTTCTTTGACGCTCAGTGTGGGTGTGGGTGTGGGTGTGGGTGTGTCTTTATCACAGATGAGTTGATTGTTTTTATTCTAAGTCCTCTGAGGCTTGAGAGGCTGCATGAGATAGGCATAAGTGCATTGATAGGAGACCCTGGATAAGTCACTTAATACCACCTCTCAGTGTCCCTCACTTGTAAAATGAAAGTGTTAAACTAGATGTTCTATAAATTACCTTTCTATTCTAAATCCTATAATTCCATGAGGTGATAGACTAAAATATGCATTAGACAGAATGCTGGACCTGGGGGTCACGAAAAACCTGGGTTTGACGCCAATCCCAGGTAAGCTAGTGACTTCGGGCTCAATCTCCCCATACATGTCCTTCCTTCTCCTGCCTTTGTTCAAGCTGTTTCCTCATGCCTGGGTCTCCCTCTCTTACAACACTCAGCTTCCTTTAAAGCAGTGTGGTCAGATCCAAATAGAAACAGAGCCACTAATCTGTCCGAGGGTATCCCTGTGGCTGAACGTTGACTTAGTTTTTAAATATGTTATCTATGCTCTATTGTATTTTTTTTTTATTTTGTCAACTACTTTTGTGTTACATTTTAATCTGGTTCAACTCCACTAGGGAGCGTTCTGGGCACCAGGAGATTACCTGGCTCAGTCTCTAGTTGTTTACATGTTATCTCCCCCACTAGACTATGAGCTCCTTGAGGGCAGGGACTGTCTTTTGCCTCTCTTTGTATCCCCAGTGCCTGCTACACAGAGGCAGGTCCTTACTACGTGTTTATTGACTAACCGTATAGCATATGTAGAGTTTGAAGCACTACATTAAAGTCAGTTATCATTCTGATTCCATCATTGTCTGCCCAGAGCACATAGTATGGCTCTGGGGTTAGCTGTGAAATCTGAGGGGTCTGAGGCAGCAGGAGGCAGAAGCAGGCATGGTCAGACAAGCAAACATCTAACAGAAGAGAAAACTAAGGCTCAGAAAAATTAGGTGATTAGGCCAGGGTCACACAGCTTTCTACCTCTGGAGCTGGGTCAAGAACCTAGGACTCCTCAGCCCAAGATCAGGGCTTTTTCCATTCCCTAGCTAACAAGAAGGTATGATTTCTAAAAGGCCACAGTTCCAAAGAAGGGTTAGTGAATGGTTTGCAAAGGGAAAATAGCATACTACATGAATACTACTCAATAACTGCATGAAAGATCATTTCAAATCACTAATAAGATAAAAGCAAATTTAAATGCTCTGAGTTTTCACCCAATACCCACAAAATCAGAAAAGGTGACAAAAAGACAGAAACAGTGTTTTAGGAGGTATAGGAAGAAACATACTAACTCGTTGGTGGAGCTATGAATTGAATTGCTCCAACCATTCCGGAAAAAGTTTTGGAATCATGCACCAAAAGTCACAAAACTTTAAATTCCCTTTGACCTAGCAATCCCACTAGTGGGCATACACCCTCAAGGAGGTTAAAGATAAAAACAAATGATACCATATGCATATAACAAAGTACTCCTATTAGCACTTTTTCGGTAGCAAAAATAAATGGAAATAAGGTGAGTGGATGGAATATTGGTAGAGCAGATTGTGACATATGAATACTATTTAATATCATTTTACTTCAAGAAATAACAAATAGAAGGAATTTACAGAAGCATGGGAAGATATACAAACTCATCCAAAGTGAAGTAAGTAGAATCAGGAGAGTGACATTGAAAAAGACATAATCATAAAAATGTAAATGAGTAGAATACTAAAATGCAGAGAAATGATGAGTAATTATAATAATCACTCACCCCCTCCCATCAGGAAAAGATAAAGAATCACCTTTTGTTGGTGAGGGATAAGGGTGCAGAATGTTGGCATACACTGTTAGATAAACCCATGGTACAGGCTGGTTTTGTTTGACTGCTTTTCTTTGTTACTAATAAAGACTCTTTGGAAGAAGATGGTACAGTCATTCAAAATGCATGAAACAAATTGCTTAATTAGTGGCAGACTTAATATGATTTGAAGAATTCTAAAAGTTGCTCTCCCCTGGCCAAAAAAACAACCAAAAACTTTCATCAATTTATTTCATTGCCTGAAATCTCCACTATTAAAGTCATTGCTTTAGGTTCGTCCTCCCTCTCCAGAAGACTCATTAATTATAACCATGTCACTTGGTTGAGGTCAGTGTCAAATTAATCCAACAGCTGTCATTAACACATTAGTATGGATGTGATTATCAGAATAGCTCGATGGCAGATTGTCAAGGCACTAGGTTGACCTTGCACATGTGTTAGCTGTGATGCACTAAGAAATCTTTCTTCCTCCTCCCCACATCCCCTCTTCTGGGCCTGTATCTCAGTATCTTCCTCTTTTTTTGGTAATTTTTTAAATTGTATACTTAAATACAAAATTAGAAAAGAAAAAAACATTGCCATGTACACAGCAGACCATAAGATAGGATTCAAGATAAAACAATAAACTTCCATTTCAAGAAAACCTATATAATAAATACTACACATTGTTTTAAAAACTGCCCAGCTTTTCTTTGCTTTCTTGTTGGTTTTCTTTTGTTCTCTGCTGTGTACTTTTTACTTTATTTTTTCTCCTCTCTTCCTCCTTTCCCTTCATCCTAAAGGTTACAATTTAAACATGGAAACACACACACACACACACACACACACACATATCCATAGCCATATGTGTAAGATTGTGCTACACTTCTTTCCTCCTATCATCTGTTTCTCTGAAGGTAGATATCATCTTCCTCCTAAATCCAAGTCTTTCCATGTTTTTCTAAATCAACCAGCTCATCATTTCCTATACCATAGCAATATTTCTTTCTGGATTCAAACAGCATCTTCCTTCACAGGATCTTTGAGGTTAACTTGGGTATTTATAATGGTAAGAATGACTTGGTTGATCAGAACTGTTCTTAAAACGATACTGTTGTTACTATACAGAATGTTCTCTTGGTTTTGCTCATTTCACTCTTCATTATTTCATGAAAGTCTCTCCATGCTTTTCTAAAGTCACTGAGCTCATCATTTCTTACAGCAGAGTAATATTCCATCATGAACATACACCACAATTTGTTAGCCATTCTCCAATTGACAGACATTCCCACAATTTCAAATTCTTTGTCAGCACAAAGAGAGTTGCTATAAATATTTTAGAACATCTAGGTTCTTTTTCATTTTCCCTCTTGGGAAACAGACCTAATAGTGGAATGGCCAGGTCAAAGGGTAGAGGCGATTTAGTAACTCTTTGGGCATAATTCCAAATCTCACTCCAAAATGAATGGATCAGCTCACAGATTCACCAGCAATGAATTAAGGTCCCAATTCTTCCACATCCTCTCCAACATTTGTCACTTTCCCTTTCTATCATTTTAGCCAATCTGATAGGTATAATATGCTATCACAAAGTTGTTTTAATTTGCATTTCTCTAATCTATAATGATTTAGAGCATTTTATATGACTAGAAATTGTTTTGATTTCTTCATCAGAGAACTGCCTGGTCATATCATTGACCATTTCTCAAATTGGGAATGACTCACATTGTTATAGATTTGACAAAGTTCTTTATATATTTGAAATATGAGACCTTTATCTGAGGAAACTATCTACAAAAATTTTTTCCCAGTTTTCTGCTTTCCTTCTGATCTTGGCTATATTTGTTTTATTTGTACAAAACCCTTTTAAATTTAATATAATAAAAATGATCTATTTTACATCTCACAACACTCTCTATCTCATTTGTTCATAAATTGTTCACCTGTCCATAAGTCTGACAGGTAATGTGTTCCATGTTCTTCAAATTTTCTTGTGATATCTCCCTTTATATCTAGGTCATGTATCTATTTTGACCTTATCTTGGTAAATGGTTTAGGATACTGGTCTATGCCCAATTTCTGCCAGACTGCTTTCCAGCTTTCCCAACAAGTTTTACCAAATAATGCGTTCTTGTCCCAAAAACTTCAGTCTCTACACTTCTCAAACACTGGGTAGCTATATTTGTTTGCTGATATGTCTACTCTATTCTACTGATCTACCTTCCTATTTTTTTAGCCAGTATCAGATAGTTTTTCATAATTACTGCTTTATAATATAATTTAAGATCTGGTACTGCTAAACCTCCTTCCTTTACATTTTTTCCCCATTAGTTCCTGTGATATTCTTGACCTTTTGTTCTTCCAAATGAATTTTGTTAGGGGCAGCTAGGTGGTAAAGTGCATAGAGAACCAGCCCTGGATTCAGGAGGACCTGAGTTCAAATGCGGCCTCAGACATATAACACTTACTAGCTATGTGACCCTGGGCAAGTCACTTAACCCTGTTGCCTAGCCAAAAAAAACCCAAAACCAAATGAATTTTATCGTTTTTTTCTAGCACCATAAAATAATTTTTTGGTAATTTAATTGGGATGACATTGAATATATAGATTAATTTTGGTGAAATTGATATTTTATTATATTGGCCCTGCCTACCCACAAACAATTAATATTTTTGTATATCAGTGTGAATGGTGACGATGAAAATGGCCCTGTGTACCTTTAGAGGGTAAATTGCTGACAAGGGAGATAGACCCACACTCAGTCATAATGTGCCCAAGCCTTCTGGGGCAGGGTAGGGGCGCCTGTTACTCACAGTCCAGAATGACTTGGGCTGCTCGGTAGAGCTGCAGTCGGTACAGGAGGTCCAGGAGCTGCTGCACTGTGGCCTGCCTCATCCCCCACCACCACAGCAGCTCCCGCGTGATGCTGATACCTTGGATTCTCTCCATGGACTTGATCTTCCTCAGCTGGGTCTGGTCGGTCATCACATAAGAGGCTAAACAGCAAACAGAGAGCATTCCCAGTTAGCCAGGCCCCCGGGAGGCAGAATGGCCTTTATCTGGATCTCCACACAGGGCTGATCTTACCAGACATAAACTAAGTAGTTGCCTGCTTGGCACACTATAGAGAGCTATGTAAGCTACCCCTCTTATCTCCTTCCCACTCAATGCCTCCTTTCCCCAGTCCACCAGATTGCCACAGAGCCCAGAATGATACCGTTTGGATTTAGTTCTCGGGTTAAGCTACTAGGTCTCTAGGAGATGCATGGTAAAATGCAAATCTGTTATCCCCCACTGCTGGTGCTTTCCCTTGGAGACTTCTTTCCGTTTAGACTGTGCATGTCTTACATACACTTAGTTATTTGCATGGCGTTTCCCTTATTAGAATGGGAGCTCCTTGAGGGAAGAGAGAATTTTTTTGTCTTTCTTTGCATCCCCAGGGCTTAGTACAGTGCCCATAGCTCCCTTTTATGTGCTGTTTTCCCCCTTAGAATGTAAACTCCTTCAGGGTAGAGAATTTTTGTTAACTTAGCACAGTAATAAACTCTTAATAAATGTTGGTTGGATATTTGTAATGGGTTTGTGTTTCTTGCCTTCTCAATGAATGGGTAAGGAAGGGGGGAGAGGGAGATCATTCCAAACTCAAAATTAAAATAAAATGAATTAAAATAAAAATGATTTTTAAAAAATACTGGTTGATTAATTGATTGCATCCTCAGAGCTTAGCATAGGAAGCAATTAATAAATGCTCATCTAATGACAGACTGGAGGATCAACACATTAACATATGACAACATCCAGCATGGATGAAAAACTTCAAGCTTAAGCTGTCAGCACATGGTAGGGGGAGGAAAGAAGGAAGAGAAAGGAGGCAAGGAGGGAAGTAATAGGAGAAAGAAAGATCTAAAATGTGGAAGAGGTATATTCTGTGGAACACTATAAGTCATACTCAAGGAAAGAAAGAGAAAGAGAGAGAGAGAGAGAGAGAGAGAGAGAGAGAGAGAGAGAGAGAGAGAGAGAGATCTAAAATATGAAAGAGGTATTCTCTGTGGAACATTATAAATCATATTTCAAGAAAGAAAGAAAGAAAGAGAAAAGATAGAAAGAAAAAGAAAGAAATGTATTTTGCCTCCCACCAACTTTGAAGTTTATCAAATTAATGGTCTGTTGCATTTCACCAACAGCCTGTGGTTTTCTCTTTCTGGGAACTTTCTATACCCAAACCAAATACAACTGGTTTTAGAGAGTTGCCAGAGGCCCACTAAGGTTAGGTCCTTAGCCAAGGTCACAGCTTTGACTGGGGATTGATTACGTAAGTTTTAGGAAAAATATTAAACAGACCTAGAAGGAAGACTCTTTTACTTGGACACAGAAGATTGTCCCAGTTTGAGGGAAAAAAACCTGGAGCTTCTAGGGAATCATTATCATCATCATTTATATAGTGCTTACAAAGTTTGGAAAGATGTCTGGATATATTCTCTAAATGGATCCTCATAACATCCCTGAGAAGTAAACACTTTTAGATAGGATTATCTCCACTTTACAGAGGAGAAAAAGAGCAGCTTTAGGAGTCAGAGGTCCTGGATTCAAATCCTGCCAGTGACTCTTACTGAATGTCTTAGGCAAGTTGCCTAGGTCTCTCTACTCAGTTTCCTCATCTTATGGTGATGAACTGCTCTACATTTTTAAGAATGTTATAAGGGAGGGGGACAGCTGGGTGGCAGAATGGATAGAGCTCCAGTGTTGGAGTCAGGAGGACCCGAGTTCAAATGTAGCCTCAGACACTTGACAATTACTAACTGTGTGAACCGGGGCAAGTCACTTAACCCTGATTGCCTCACCCTGCCCCCCCAAAAATTGCTATAAGGACAGTGAAGGTAAAAATGATTACCATGCATTTACAAGTATGACATAATATTATACTATTCTATATATTAAACTATACACACTATACTACACTATAATATATTAAAACACCAATGAGAATGTGATTGTGTCCAATTATAAACTTGGCAGAGGCGCTGCCCCCTTAAAAATAACATCTTCAGGAAAGAAGATTTAGGGAAGGCCGAGGGGCAGCTAGGTGGTGCAGTGGATAGAGCTCTGGACTTGAGTCAGGAGGACCTGAGTTCAAATCCAGCCTCAGACACTTGATACTTACTAGCTGTGTGACCCTGGGCAAGTCACTTAATCCTGACTGCCTCGCCCAAAAAAAAAAAAAGAAGAAGAAGAGGGAAGGCCGACCTACACGTGGACATTGGGCACTAAAGTAAATGAAACAGCCATGGCTTCTGACTCTAAGGAATATATCATTGGAGAGAGATGCATTGTTTCATAGAGATCATCTGTATAGGGGAAGCGGTGGGCAGCGGTAAAGCCTGATGAACTTGAGAGTCAAGATCAAGGTTAGAATCCTGGCTTTTGACATGACATACCAGTTAATTTCTTTAAAGCTCAGTTTCCACATTTGCAAAGTAGCTCTGTGGGTGTGTGTGTGTGTGTGTGTGTGTGTGTGTGTGTGTGTGTGTGTGTGTTTAGAGTAAAAGGTCAGGAAGCATAAAGCTGGAGTCAGGAAGACTTTGCTTCTAGTCCCACTTCTAACAGATCCCATCTGGGTAAGCCTAGGCAAGACACTCACCCTCTTAGTGCCCCCAGATAAACTCTGTTAAGATAATAAACCTCGGAGCAGAAGGCTGATCTGCATTGATAAAGGAGTTTTCACACTGGGAGTTCCCCACACTAACAAAATCCTAGGTCCAGCCCAAATATTTGCATGACCTACCTCAGATTATGATAATCAAATGAAAAAATGTAATTAACAGCACCATGAAAATAAAGCACTATGTGACCCCTGCTCATATCAAAGTGATGACTCCCCCCACCATGCAGACTGCAATCCTTCCATTCTATGTGTTTCAGAGTAGGACCTTAATAAGTGCTTACTGATTGATGAAACCACAAAGATAAATTTATCAAGCATTTATGCTGTATGTATATTTATGAGATCAGAGAATTTAGATTTGGATGGAACTTCCAAGATTACCTAGGCAGCAATCACTGCCTCATTTTATGTCTTATTTTATCCTAGACTTAAAACATCAAATAAAATGATCATTTACATATACTTAGGAAAGGAGGATCACACATGAAACTGCAAATCTCCATTCCAGTTTGTGCTTCTGTTAAATATAATAAAATACAACATGTAATTTCTAAAGCAATCCTACTTACTTGGCTTTTTTTTTCCTGTTCTCTTTTGTGAATTTTCTGTGAAACTGGGCATAGACCAACATCTTACACCCTATACCAAGATGAAGTCAAAATGGGTACATAATTTAGATATAAAGACTGATACTATAAGCAAACTAAGAGAGCAAGGAATAGTTTACCTAGCAGATCTATGGAGAAGGGAAGAATTTATGACCAAACAAGAGATAGAAAACATTATAAAATTCAAAATGGATGACTTTGGTTACATTAAATTGAAAAGTTTTTGCACAAAGCCAATCCAACCAAGATTAGAAGGGAAGCAGAAAACTGGGAAACAATTTTTACAGCCAGTATCTCTGATAAAGGCCTCATTTCTAAAATATATAGAGAACTGAATCAAATTTATAAGAATATAAGCCATTCCCCAATTGATAAATGGTCTAAGGATAAGAACAGGAAGTTGTCAGATGAAGAAATTAAAACTATTTATAGTCACATGAAAAAATGCTCTAAATCACTACTGATTAGAGAAATGCAAATCAAAATGACTCTGAGGTACCACATCACATCTATCAGATTAGCTAACATGACAAAACAGAAGAATGATAAATATTGGAGAAGATGTGGGAAAATTGGAACACTAATGCATTGTTGGTAGAATTGTGAACTGATCCAACCAGAGAACAATTTGGAACTATGCCCAAAGGGCTATAAAATGGCAAACACCCTTTGACCTAGCAATACCACTTATAGGGCTGTATATCCCAAAGAGAACATACAAACAGGAGAAGGATCCACGTGTACAAAAATATTTATAGCAGCTCTTTTTGTGGTGGCCAAGAATTGGAAATTGAGGGGAGGCTGAACAAGTTGTGGTATATGGAATACTATTGTGCTATAAGAAATGATGAGCAGGCAGACTTCAGAAAAACCTGGAAAGACTTATATGAACTGATGCTGAGTGAAGTGAACAGAACCAGGAGAACATTGTGCCCAGTAACATCCACATTGTTCAGTGACTGACTTTGATCTCAGTAATGCAAGGCTCTAAGACAACTCCAAAAGTCTCACAATGGAAAATGCTATCCACATCCAGAGAAAGAACTTTGGAGTCTGAATGCAGTTGGAAGCATACTATTTGCTCTCCTTTTCTTTTATTGTTTTGCTTTTTCTTTCTCATGGTTCCTTCCTCCCATTAGTTCTAATTCTTCTTTACAATATGACTAATGTGAAAATACGTTTAATATGAATGTATAAGTAGAGCCTATATCAGATTGCATGCTGTCTTGGGGAGGGAGGAAGAGAGGGAGGAGGAGAAAATTTAAAACTAGGAAGTGAATGTTGAAAACTAAAACTAAAAATAAATTATTTTTTAAAAAACTACTCCAATGACCCTCTCTTCTTTATTTTCTTAATGATAATTTGATCCCCCTCTCCTTACCACTTCCCCCTCCCCTATAAAATAAAAGAAATGAGAGATTTGGACTCAATGACCTCTAAGGGTCCCTCTCATTCTAAATCTATGACTCTGTGATCCCAATTCAGTGTCCCTTTCTAATTCACCAAATTTCCTCTTTGCACACTCAAGGATCCTGAGTTCCCCTATCTTTAGCACAAGGACTGAGAGATTGTAACTCTTCTGCACGGCCCTCTACATCACCAGCTGGGTGGCACACTGCATGGACACACTGGATCTGGGCCTTAGTCTGCATCCTGCCTCAGATACTTATCAACTGTGCGACCCTGGGCAAGCCATGGAACCTCCATCTGCCTCAGTTTCCTCATCTGTAAAATGGGTCTCATAACAGCATCTACCTCCTTGGCTTGTGATGAGGATAAAACTAGACAAAGTGCTATACAAATACTAGCTATTAAAAGTCTAATTGGGAAGTCAGTCCTTTTTTAATGGTCTCACTGGTAGTAAATAGAAGAACCAGAATTCTAATTCAGGGCCTCCCCATGACTGACTCTGCTTTTGTCTGTGTTTTTGTTCCAAGTCAACCTTGCTACCACCACCACCACCACCACCACCACCACAGACCATTACTCTCTTCATTAAAAACTTGCTCTCAACGAAGTACATTGAAAATTGATTCCTACTGAGGAAAAAACTACTAAAAACAGTTCAATGCATGTCCCGTCTTCATGAAAATGGTATTTGAACAGAAGATAAAGTCTTATTTTGGGCATAGGGAGATGGGGAGTTAGGGACTTCTTCATGCCCCTGAAGTCACGCCAGCCTGGAAAGTGGTCTGTATCAGAAAAGGAGTCCATGCTGAGGGAGGCTGATGCTGGCTGGCCCTAGGTTGTCAGTAACTTTTGTAGCTGCCACATTCACCCTTCCTCAGGCACCAAATGTCCCCAGGAGGGATGGGGAAACAATTCAGAGCACAGGAAGGGGAAATGATGTGCGAAGAATCACAGTTTACTGGCTTCGCCACCTGAGTCAGAGACGTTCCCAGACACCATCCTGTTTGTGGAAATTTATCATACCATCATCACAAGGCTGAATGAAATCTGCCCACAATAAAGACAAAGGGACCTCAAGAGGAGCACAGTGTGTCCTGGACTGAACTTCCACATGCCCAGAGTCTCCGGATTTCTTTTAGTCCACCTCCCTCCCCAACCTATGGAAGAAGTGAAGCATTAAGGACAGAGCTCTAGTCACAGGATACTGGAGATAAGGGGGTTAGGACTGACTCTATGAATTCATGATAGGACCTTGTTTGAGCCTCCAGCACAGTTCTCTGAAAAGCAGAGGGTTCACACTCGAGGCTTTCTAAGGGCCCTTTCAATTACAAGGGTGAGATGGGAGAAGTTGGTAAATCACCCAAAGAAAGTACTTTATTTCCTGAGAATGAGAGAAATCTCAAGGGAGGCTAGAAGTAGGTGGGCGATAATGAGCTCCTGAGGGAAGGGTCAAGTTATTTTTACCCTATCCCCAGCACTTAGCACAACTAGCAATTCGCAATGACACATAGGAAGCCCTGAACATTGAAAGTGTCTACTATGGGGTGAGGAGGAGGTTTCCCCCAGCCCCAGCCTGTTACCTTCTAGGAAAATTGTGAATAGAGCCCTAGCTGAGGCTAGGAGCCCAAGACAAAGTTTCACTGAATGTCTCTTTTTCTCATCTATAATATGCAGTGCCCATTCACACTCCTCCCCTCCATAAAGTACACAAATCATAGACTGAGACCTGGAAGTCCCTAAGAACCCATCCCATCTGCCTCCTTGCCTCCCCCTGACACTGAGCCTGGGTGGGGCCCTGTGAGGGCCACGGTAGAAAGGGTTCCACCCTGAGTGGGAGGTTAAGAAACCTTAGAAATCATTTAATCCAAACTCCCTCATTGAACAACCAAAAGAATATACGAAGCCCGTTCTATGTGGCAAACATAGATGAGAAAGATACTTCTATTCCACCTCTGACATACACTGGTGTGACCTTGGATGAGGTCCTCAAACCTCTTCAGGCCTCTGTTTCCTAGCCTGTAAAATGAAGGGGGTTAGAGTAGATGGCCTCTAAGGTCGCCTCTCACTTAGAATCTGTGATCCAAGGAGGCCAAAGGTTTATTGACCTTGTTCAACATCCCTGGTTCATAGAGTCTGGATTCCATCCCCACTCAGACCAAATCCAACGCCCTTTCAGCAATTCACCAAAAACAGCCCAGATCCCAAGAGATGCTTACCTCTTTAAATGATAAACTCTTTTCACTCCAATGACACAGACAAGCATCCAAACCTCTGAGCAAGAATGGGAGAGTGCCAAATGTGCCTGTTTGCAAAGACCCCTCCTGCCCCACTCCCTCATTGTGCAGCCTTGCAGAGGTCACCCAGTCTAGTTAGTACAAAACAACCCTTCCAAAACAGATATTCCACCTCTTACACAGCTTAATTCTTTGCTGTCGTCGTTGTTGTTGTTGTTCACTTCTTTCAATTGTGACCCCATTTGGGGTTTTCTTGGCAAAGATACTGGAGTGGTTTGCCGTTTCCTTCTCCAGCTCACTTTACAGATGAAGAAACTGAGGCAAACAGGGTTAAGTGACTTGCCCAGGGTCACGCAACTAGTAATTATCTGAGAAAAGATCTGAACTCAGGCAGATGAGTTGTCTTGACTCCAGGCCCAGCACTCTATCCACTGTTCACCTACCTGCCCTGATTCAAACTGATACACTTAATACTCTGGATAACCTTGTTTATATCCACACTCCAAAACACCATGTAATAAATGGTATATCCAGTAGGCAGAAAGGAAGGACTTTTCTTGGGTATTTTTTTTTTGAGGGGAAGGCATCAAGTGTCTACATCTTCACCAGGTCCTTAGATGCTTTTCTCTTGTAAGGCTGTGATTCATTTCCCCAGCACCCTCAGACCTAATTCATTTCCTAGCATCCTTGGAGAGACAGCACAGAGAAGGGCACACTTATGGTGCCTTCCTGATGGACAAGAGGAGCAGTATATTATATACCATCATTCCCTTTCCTTCCAATCAGCACCACAATTACAAAGAGCAGGCAGACCTACTAACCAATTTTTCAGCACCTAGCGCCAAGAAATATGCCTAGTAACTAATACCAGAAGACTATTACCCCATGACACATCTTTTTCGAGATTCTAGATTCTACAAAATCACTAGACCTATGATTTTACCAAGCAGGGAATGCCCAGAGGGGGAAATTCCCACTACCAATGGAAGTTGGCACCTTCCCTTCAACTTATAGTCTGTGAGAAATTAATGATAATATCAGCTAGTATTTACATAAAGGCTTGTAAAGCACTTAACCTATAATATCTCATTTAAACCTACACCAGCCCTGTAAGGTAGATGCTATTATTGCCATCCCCATTTTAGAGATGGGCAAATTGAGAAAAAGTTAAGTGACGTGTGCAAAAGTCATACAGCTCGGTAGGAAGTGTTTAAAGTAAGTTTTGAGGGGCAGCTAGGTGGCACAGTGGATAGAGCACTGGCCCTGAAGTCAGGAGGACCTGAGTTCAAATCTGGCCTCAGACCAAACACCTGACACTTACTAGTTGTGTGACCCTGGGCAAGTCACTTAACCCCAATTGCCTAAAAAAAAAATAAAAATAAAGTAAGCTTTGAACTCAGGTCTTCTCCACTATGGCACAAAGGTGCCTAGGTTAAATGGTAAGACAGCAAGTATGGGCAGTGAGACTTGTACCTAGATTTTCCTGACTCTGGGTCAGCTCTCTAACATGGTTCTTTGCCTCCATGGCTATGTTCATTAGACAAGTTAATAAATCACAGAATGTAAGAGGAGACAGAAAAAACCGTCTGGTCTAACTTCCTCATATTAAAGGAGCAAAAGCTAAGGATCCAGATCTCAACTACCATTCTGAAGTTTTGTCTATTATACTGTGTTATATGGAACAAGCTAAAACTATAGCTCAAAAGCAAAAGGTAGAATAGTACTTAAATACGAAAAAAGAGAGCTTATAGAGGGCAGTGGCAAGTGATCTGAGTCACAAAGTCAGAGGACCTGAGTTCAAATCACAGTTCTGCTATGGACTATCTGTGTAACCTTGGAGAAAATTCTATCTCCTCTCTTGGCCTCAGATTCCTCATTTTCCCCCTCTATGAAGGCTTCCATTTCCCTCTCTGTGAAATGAAAGGGTCAGCCTAGATTATCACTATGAACTCTTTCAACTCTAAATCCTGTGCTCCCTGAGGGAGATAGGTCACGGCTGTTGGATGAGTCCATCCCCTATAAGCCCACTGTAACCTGTCAGCCCAGCCATTCCTAGGGCTCCAGTCTTCCCAGGGACCCCAGATCCCCTTGACAATGCTCTCACCAAATTGCATCCAGTCCCATTCATTCAGGCTGTCCATCTTGTGGCAGAAGTCCTCCAGCACCCAAGAAGGAAGCTGATAGATATATTGGGAAGTCCTAGGGCTCCGGAGAGCAGGTGAGGGTGGCAGCAGAGGTGCCTGCAAGGCCATTTTCCGTACTTCCAGTAGTTTACAGGCTGCTATGATCAAGGCTCTTTCCTCTCCCGAGCCATCAGCCTGCTGGGACCTCAGATCTGTTCTCTTCTCCCAGAAGAAGCAACTGAGCAACTCTTGAGCTAATGCAACCCCTCCTTGTGGGGGAGGAACCCAAACAAGGTGTCCCCTTTGTTAACAGCAAGGCACTGGGCTTTCTGTGTTCTGGTCCTGGTTCCCACTTGTCAACAGGATGTCTGCTAGGCTAATTTTCAGCCCAGTATGAGTCAGAAAGTGCTGACATCAAGCTTCTACACTCAGGGGAGGAGTCCCAGGGGGCAACTAGCTGCAATTTTCCGGGAAGTTGGGCTGAGCTGAGCTAGGGTGGGGTGAGCTGGACTGAGCAACACTGCCACCAAGCTGTATGTAAGAGCCATAACACAACATTCTAGCCAAGGGCTCACTGCCTTCCAAAAATAAATAAATAAATAAAAACTTGAACCCAAAAGATGGAAGGAATCAGAGATGAGGGCAGAGCCCTGAGATTTATTACTACTTACTAATTAGACTACTTACTAGCTGGGAAACTGCACAAATCATATGACTTCTTGAGGCTTCAAATTCCTTTACTCTCAAGCCAGGTTATTATTAACCCACTATGGCCTCAGTTTTGAGGAAATGGCTGGGATAATATAAGTAGAAGTACTTTGAAAAACATAAATCATTATTCAGTCCATGCCTCTCATTTATAGACAATAAAACTGAGGACAAAGAAATTGAGTGATTTTTCCCAACGACAAAACTAATTAATGGAATACCTGAGGCTGAGTCCAACTGAACAGGGGCTCAGAATCTAGCACTGATTCAGTTTACCCTAAAATGGGATTTATAGAGTTAAAAGGGACCTTATGTATCATTTAACTAGAGCCGTTCATTTTTAACAATGATGAACCTGAAACCAAGGGAAGTTACTTACAAGTAAATAGGAGTCAGGAATCAAACAGAGGTCATCTGACTCCAAATCCAGTGCTTGTCTACACCATGCAGGACAACCTCTGTGACTGAAAAACCTTTGTGCTCAATTGGAAAGATATATGGGTCCATAGATAAGCTCTGTGTTGTGGGAATGTAGCTGCAGCTTTACACTGGATGGGCAAGGAGGAAACAGAAAAACAGGGATTATAGTAGTTGGCTCCTATGAAGCTAAAAGCAAAGACTGTGAAAAGAACTAAGGATAAGAAAGAAGGGAACCTTGGGGTTAATCAAGAGCAGGAGCTAGGGAGAGCAGATAATCCTCGAACCCTCTGACTTGGGCAAGGATAGTATCTCATATAGCATTATATTCTGATTAGTCAACTAACGAATTATGAAGTGGTGGCATTATTCAGATTTGTACTGATGATTCCCATTACTCTAGAACCAATGACCATGTTTTATATAATCAAATATTTTTAATTTCAATACATGTGACTACTTCATGGATTGATTATCTAGGACTTAACTGTATCACAAAATATGCATAGTGGTACTGTGTGAGAGAGAAAAAAAACCCTAGAAAGAAGCAGGTGTCTCTAATTAGAGAATGGCTAAATTATGGTTCATGAACATAATGGAATACTCTTGAACCCAAGAAACAAAGAATATGAGGCATCTAGTGAAACGTGTGTTGTATGAATGAAACGATACACTCCATTCTGCATCTGTTGTTCTCCCTGGTTTCAGCTCCAACCAGAATAAGATGCCCTGGCCCCCTTTCCTTCCTCCTTTTGTGTTTTGTCTCCCTCCATTTGATTGTAAGCTCCTGGAGGGCAGGGACTATCTTTTTCATTATTATCATTAATTACATCCACAGCATTTGGCACAGCATCTGACACATAGCAGGTACATAATAAATGTTTATTGGATTGGATTGGATTGGATGTCAAAGAAAGCAGATCCCAGAGAACAACTGGCATACCTGCAATAATGTAAATAAGAGCCACTAAAAGGCAGCTGAACACTGGTTAACTGCAATAAAAAATCTTGGTTCTAGAATACAAATGAAGAAACACACTTTCTTCCTTATGGCAGGGAGAGGGAAGGCTATGGGTGCAGTGTTGCACACACCATCAGATGAGGTCATTTTGTTGGTCAGTTCTTCCTTAATGTTTTTATTAGTTACAAGAGAAGGTTCCATTGAAAGACAGGGAACATCTTGAGGAATAATTAATACATAAAAAAAATGGCATCAATAAAAAATTTTCAAAATAAAAATAATTCACTGCCTTCAGAATGAAACCAATTCAAGATATTCTGGGGATTGTTAGTCATGTAACATTTAAGCACTTACAACGTGTCAGGCACACAATGCAAAAGCAACTACCTAGAAAATTTATTGTTTCTTCCATGATAAGGGGATGGAGATGGTTTTCATGTCCTAGATACAATGCAAGATGGCGCCAAGAACAAAAGTCAGATGTAGGAATTAAACTGAACCAAGACGGATTCTGCAAGTAAGCTATGTACTTGTGATTTGCTATGCAAAGTATCTGCATCCTGAGATTTTTCCTTAATGCAGTAAAGATCTTGCACACTAGGTGGCGGGATGAGTATGACTGATTTGAGTAACATTTCCAAAGAGCAATGAGTGAGTGAATAAAATTCAGCTAAATACCTGGGTCATGGGAGTAGACAAAATCAGCCACCATGAAGGTTATTTTGATGGGAGCAACCTTAGAATTTTGTCACTGAAACTGTTCAATTTAACTACCACATATCAGTCCTCTGTAGCTGAAGGACTAAAGGGAGTTATGTCCAGAGAATACCAGGTACCATGCTAAGTGCTAGGGATACAAAGAAAAAGATGGTCCCTGCCCTCAAGGAGATTACAATCTAATGCAGGAAGACAAAACACAAAAGAAAGCTGGAAAATAGGGAGGGAAGAGAGGTCACCTGGCATGAGGACATGATGGAGAAGTTAAAAAAAAATTCCTAAATACATATAGCCAGAGAAGCCAAAATGAACGCAGATGGATGGGAAATGAGACATCTGACGTGCACCACCTCCTTAAATGGAGTATGAGTTCATGGCTCCACCAATGGAGTATGAGGAGTTCATGGCTCCACCGGCCAATAAGAGGAGCTGTAGGTACTGATGAGGCTTGAGTACCAAGGCTGATTGGATTTTGCAAGATAATGCAGAAATCATCCAAAAATGAGTGCAGTTGGGTGGGAAATGAGGCCATGTCTGCAGAGATGTCTGCTCTGTCCCCTCTTCTTAAAGGGAGGTTGAGGAGTTTATGATGATCTGTGGGTTTTGATTGGCAAAAAAGAAAAAGAAAAAAAACCAAACTGGACATGACCAATGTGGGAATTTGTTTTGCTTGACTGCATATTTGTTACAAAGGTTTTCTTTTTTTTTTTTTCCAGTTGCGGATGAGGGGAGACTGAAAATACAGACAGAATCGCAAAAGAAAAGGTCACTGAAGTATTTTTTTAAATGCCCATAAAACACAAGGAATCACAGCCAAGCATGGTTTGAAAGCTAAATGTCAAATTTTTTACATATCTAAAGAAAAAAGGAAGCAGTACCTAATGGAGATTTGTAGGTGAGGGTACAACCTCTTTCTCTGCTCTACTATGTATATTGATATGCTCATTTTATTTGGCGTTTGTTAAGATGAGAATAAAAAAACTTCTAAAAAAGATTAACTTTTTTACAATGGACTTCCCAGTGTGGGCAAGAACATTCTGAATTCGAGACTGCTTGAATCAGCTACTGGCAGGCCAGTAATAGGTTTAACAGTAGACTTCTTAGAGGAGATGACCCCACTGCCAGGTCACTCTGTAGCTGAAGGACTAAAGGACTGAAGGACTAGATCTTGTCTTGAGTTACTCAGGAACTGCAGCTCTGAGGTCACTGCAAAATACCTATTTCACAGTACCACAAAGGGCCTTTGCATTCCAAGGAATATAGTGAGAGTAATGGACTATTTGAGATATTTTTATCATCTCTGCATTTGTCAGCGCATGCCTTTAAGTTTTTTGGGTGATGGAGGAAATAAGAGTTGTTCTATTCCCGAGGCCTGTATTGTACAACGAGTACCTTTTCTAGAGTTACCTCTAGGTGGCACAGAAGAGAAAATGGGGACACTGAGGAGTCAGGAAGACCTAAATCTGAAGCCTGCCTTAGGCACTGAGTATAACCCTGCATAAATCACTTAACCTCTTCGTGCCTCAGTTTTCTCCTCTGTAAAATGAGGATAATAACACCTACCTCCTAAGGTTGTTGTATGGATCAAATGATATAATATGTAAAGTGCTATAAAAATACTAGCTATTATTTTGAGGAGATTCTAGATATGACCTGGGGGCAAAAGGTGGTAAAGTGGATAGAGTGCCAGGCCTGAAGTCAGGAACATGAGTTCAAATCTGGCATAAAACACTTACTAGCTGTGTGACCCTCAGCAACTCACATAACCTCTGTCTCAATTTCCTCATCTGTAAAATAAACTGGAGAATGAAATGGCAAACCACTCTATTAACCTTGCTCAGAAAACCCCAAATAGGGTCAGGACATGACTGAAATGACAAGACAAGACGTAACCCAGAATTAAATTTTGTTTTAGAGATTTCCCTGGAGTTGTTCTGGGGTTGAGGGATTGAGCCAAAAATATTGGCATTAAGACTCCAAAACTGAACATACTTTTACGTAAGCCCAGAGCCACTGGCTGGAGCCTTTCTACGGGAGCTCTTCATATTAGGGTCAAGATACTGTATTGTGCATTGGACCTGAAGTAAAAAACACCTGAGTCCTAATCCTGCCTCAGATATTTACTAAATGTGTAACACCGGGCAAGTGCCTCAATTTCCTCATCTGTAAAATTGGGATAACAGTGTAAGAAAGGATAAGTTAGGCTTCCACAACAGAACAAGGGGGAAAAAAATAAAACAAAACAAAAAGAGGGTCAGCTAGGTGGCCCAGTGGATAGAGCATCGGCCCTGAAGTCAGGAGGACCTGGGTTCAAATCTGGCCTCAGACTAAACACTTGACATTTACTAGCTGTGTGACCCTGAGCAACTCACTTAACCCTAACTGCCTACAAAAAAAAAAAAAAAACAGAACAGAACAAGGGAATTCTGAGGACTTCCAAGATCTTGTGGATGGTCCCTCAACCAATCAGAAAGTGCCTCAAACATTCCACAAACTAGTTCCTTCAGAGCAAGCCTGGAAGCTAAACTGGGTTGCAACCCGTTGGGTTCAAGGACGCGGCCTCGACAGAGCAAAGGCTTTTTTTTTCTCCACTGTG